CAGGAGCGGGAGCCGGAGCAGGAGCAGGGCAGTAGTAGCAGAAGTCGTCGTCGTCGTCGTCGTCGTCGTCTTCGTCGTCGTCGTCGTCGTCGTCGTCGTAAGTAGTAAGTAGTAGTAGCAGTAGCAGTCATGCCCAATTCGTGATACCCCTAACCCCGGCGGCTGCTTGGTACAGTCTCTCCGTTTCCCTGGCTCGTACTTGCCTGTGGGATTCTTCCCGGCCCCACGTACGGGTGGGCGTTTGTGTAGACGACCCAGGAACTCCCCAATCTGCAGTGCTGGAGCTCGTGCGACGTGGGAAGAGACCATCCATGCCCGAGCCATGATCGTCTAGTGTGAGTTTGGAAGGGAGCATGCAGAGCATGCATGTCCTGACCGTGATAATCGTCCGTGGTTTCGTGCGACTTGGGAAGAGAGCATCAATGCCCGAACTGTTTAACGGTACGATCTCACATGCCATGCATGGGTCGTAGGAGATGGCTGTTCTTCACCTGGCGCTCTCAGTCGGAGTCGGCGTAATGATCTTCGTCATGATTTGAGTCTGCCTGTTCTACGCATCGAAACGCAGAACTCTTCTCTGTAAGTTCGAGCCACCAGCACTATGAAGATGTAAGCAGGGGCAGTTCATCGGCAAATCCTCGCTGGGACAGCGAATGCGACGTCAGGTGCAGCCTCATCGTTTGGGACTATCTGCCAAGGGTCACTGTTCGTAAGCCGTCGAAACGCCTGTCGGTTGGGCAGTGTGCAGCTGCAGTGCTCGAAACTGCTCCCAAGCAGCCCTCTGGTGCACATAGACATGGAGGCTGGCGGGTGCCTAAATGCTGGCACATCCGTCCGAGCATATTATGACATGAACGACCACCCTATGGGGTATCGGTATGTGAAAATGCTGGAGATGCCCAGAGATGGCCCTGCAGATGTCTCAGATCCTCCGGTTGTTGGGGTGTCTCAAGGATGGATTCCTGCAACAGTGGTCGAGGACTACGATCCGAAGCAGAATGGGGAAGCCGGGGTCCTTGTGAAGCTCCACGGCTTTTTTGAGGATGCTTACCGAGAGGAAAAACCTGTGAGTGGAATGATGTGGAAAGTTCAGCCCAACTTGATCTCCTTGAGAAGCTCCCCTCCTGTGAAAATTCAGCTTTCCCTCCTCGTGGTCCGCTGGAAGGAATACTTCACAAGGACTACCACCTCTAGATCGCACAACATTCTGAATGAGGGTCTGATCCGAGATGTACTGGCTGGGGAGGCTTCTTGCAAGGAGGTCTTCGGAAAAAGCGGTGCCTACGAGGTCATTTCCGTCTTTGCATCCACGGGTCGCCATCTAGATGCAGTGCCGCGTGAACTCCTGGCCTCAAGCTTGCGAGGATCCAGAAAAGCTGCTCTCTTCTTTCTTTGGCCAACCCTCAAAAAGGGCGTAGTAGAGCAAGGCCATGTGGATGCCGACGCCATGAAGAGTCTTATGACCGGGATGGAAGGCCTGGGGGTGAAGACTTGCTGGCCGCATCCATGGTCGCTTTATGAAGATCTTGTGAGTAAGCAATGGGCTCCACGTGATTGCTCACGCCTGGAGCTGCGAATTCCTCCCACGACTTCTGTTTCCTGTAAGTCCTTGAGGGAAGCAGGGGTTGAAGCCGTTGCCTCTTCGGCCATCGCGGAGCTGCAGCGGCTCAGCAGAGAGAGGGGTCGGACGCCATTGTCCCAGGCACGCGGCGGGGCTGCCTTAACTGCAGGAATGAGCACTGCAGCCACGCTCTCACCAAAGAGTAGCAGTCCACAGCTGCTTGGCAGGAGCAGTATCGAGGCGTTGCGAAGCTCACATACTCCTGGATGGGGGTTGCGGTCCTCCCCTTCGTCGGTGAGGCGCCTCCAAGGATGTGAAGTCAATCAACGGACGGTTAGTGCTGGCCTACGTGTCCTTGTGCAAGCACAGCATTGCGTGCTCAGGAAAGCTTGCAGCGAGCTCTGGAGAAGCTTCTTGATGGAATGCCTGACATTGCTCAGTGCTTGGTGCAGGAGTGGATAGCTGTGCGACAAGTGGAGTGTGTGTTGTAAAAGCATGTGTTTTGTAGAACAGTTGAGGCCACACCTCTCACACACGCTTGTTCTTTCTACATGTTGTGGTCTGTGCCGTTCATCCTTGTTGAAAATTTTGCAGTCGTCATGTGCCGACCAGGAGCGTGTTGAAGGAGTTCGCTGCGAACTCCGTGCCTTCTGCTGCAGGGATTTAGCTTCGAAGTCCTATGCCATGGAGTTGCTCCGCATGCAGTTGAAGCCGCCGCAGCATGGCGACTCTTGATTTGGACAAAGTTCGTTTGTCGCACGAAGCGGGTACACGAAGCGAATTCTGCCCCAAGGAGTGGGATGCTTCCTTTGCACTGGCCAGCCATAAGACCTTGACGAAGGAAGAGCTTGTGATGCAGAAGTTCTCTGGAGATAGGCTCCTGCACCAATGCTCACTTAGATGTGGGGCTGGCATCAAGAACTTTCCGCGGAACGCCCCTTGCAAGGAAGACCGTGGATCAAATCGAGGAAGAAGTCCGCCGAACAGCCTCCACTTGGCTTGAGCGCTTCAAACTCGAAGGGTGTGCGCCGCATGTCATCCGGATGGACTTCTTGGTCTCTGTTCCTCCCAATAAACCTTCGAGTGATTTTGAGGTGCACATTTGCGAACTCACAGAGTGTGGGGGTGCAACATGTGGTCTGCATGTTTGTACTCGGACAGCAGCAACACTAAACGAATGCATGGATGGACATGAAGGTGCTGATTTCCCAAAGCCATTGCCCCCTTTCCGATTGGAAAGAGAAAGAACTCAGCTCCGACCTGAGCCAAAGAGTGCGCCGAGTCGAAGTCGCAATGAGCGCAGCGACGGCATGCGCGACAGCAACGTGCAGAGCATGCAGATCGCGTCACAGAGCAGGGTCGAGAGTACTCCGAGTGACCGTCCACCGCGACGACGCTTGGAACTCTTTGCTGCAGTGGTGGCAGTGGCCCTGCTGCTTTGGCAGCGAAAGATCGGCACGACTCAGCTGAAGAGACTGTTGGCGCTTCCACCAATTGGCCTTTTCGCGGTAGGTGCAGCTGCAGTTTATATTGTTCGCAGTGCGTTGACCTAGTTTTGTCCAATGCGCAGATGAAAACGACAGATTAAACTGTTGGTTGCGTCCCGTAGAGGCACAATGAGGGACATAGCAGCATCTGGAAGGCTTATGCTACATGATGCCAGGCACCTGCAGATTTGGCTGACATCGACGAGAATATTGAGGCAAGAGGCATCATCATCCATATATGCCCGATTTAAACTCTGAGCGCACCAGGCTGAAGTCGCCGGAGATGCCCCAGGACTTTCCCAGCACTGTCGTCGCTGCCTGGGCGCATCTGGTTTGCAGCATCATTGCCTGGCGAGGACGTGACGGCTTTCAGCCGGCCACCAGCAGTAGGCTACCCCGTGAAATCTCAACAGTTTTCCTCACCGTTACTTGCGTGGGCAAGCTGGATCAAACTGGTTGAAGACGTGCTCTGCGAATTTGGTCGTCATGAGGGCTGCCCAGACACACCCAGATGATACCACCTGTGCCCAAGATGTCAAATAATAATACGCACGCAAGAATTGCGCTTGGAGCCTTTTTCTCCTGTTTCACAGCTTGACATGTGGTTGAGCGCATGTGCGAGATAAATACGGGTCAGGAGCAGCCTGTTGCCATGCAGGTCGCCGAAGCCAGCATCCAGTCCGAAGTCTGGCGGAAGTCGACGAATGTGCGCCGAGTGATCGCTCATTCGTTTAGTCTCTGCTGCTCGAGCGGGATGCTGGGGTCGCGGGCTTTTGAGGTCTGAACTGTTGTGGGCCAGTTGACGGTGAGGTGGAACTGAGCGCGAGATTCCCAAAGCCCGACTGGGCAGGTCGCAAGACGAACAGACGTCAATGCATGCAGCGGCTGACGAAGCCCTTATGCGAGCAATCGCGCAGGTGACAGGCTTAGTCTTGGTGTCCGTGTCGAGGCTTCTGCAATAGGCTGCTTTCCAGCTCAAGGCAAGTGCCGGACTGTCGATGGATGCGAGCTGCACGGAGGTGCGCTGTGACCGCAGCTCTGGTCTGTGATGCAACGTCCAACGGTGCTGTGCAGGAAAATGAGAGCGTCCAGGAAGGGCTGCCGAGTGTCTCCGTGTCGAAGCTCCCGAGCGCCGTGACAGTGGCAGGCAGATGCCTCGCACAGACAAGTCGAAACTTCTTGAGTGGCACGACGATGTGCATGTGTTCGTAATAGCCACCGACGCTTGAGGCCTCTAGGAAGCACAGAGCAGAGTCGTGATTCCAGGGGTATCTTGGAGAACGGCTGCAGACAGCTGAGTTTAGCAGCAATCGAAGAACCGTACCGTACCTTACCTATGTTTGACTCAATGTGTGTCAGTATGCAATTCCAACTCTAACAAACCGAGAGAGCTGTTCTGATGGCTGTGGTGGTGGTCGTCGTCGTTGTTGTTGTTGGACTACTTTCCAGATCCCCTGTGCTGTGCTCCTGCACAGGATGCATGCTGGTGAACTGCAACTAATGACCCACGTGCTCGACTTTAAACCCGTGATGGCTCGATGCTGAAGCGGTAGATGACCTTTTTGCATGCGAAAGCGCTGTCGCAGGGGTACCCGTCGCCACAACCGGGGACTTAGTGTACCTTGGAGGAGGGCGTTGCTGGCGATTATTATGCCTGAGTTCCTTCAGTCACTGAAAGTGCCCGGCGAAAGCAGCCCCTTAATCTTACCGTGATGGGCCACATACCAGGCTGTATGCTGCTGCTGCTCCGGCTGAAAAGCCAGCCAAGAAGCAGAGGACACTCACGGCAGATCAGTCTGCATTGTTGGATTTCGTCGGCATTCAACTCCACTGAACACACGTCGGAAACCACAAGCATTTCCATGCCAGTTGAGTCTCTTCTCCATGCTTTTCCATGCATTGCGCTCTGCCTTGTTGTGCAGTGCGGCGCCGGCTCGACCAAGACCTCGAAAGCCCGTTGGCATTTGTTCTTGCGTGGGAGTGCATCGTGAAGCGTTCCAGTTTAGTTATGCAAGCAACCGATCAGCAGCTGCGCCTGCTGCATGCCAAACTGCAGGCCGCCTTCGGCCATCAGAAGTGCAAGCGCACACATCGTGGGCAACGGAGCACGTGCTGACGGCGACAGCAAGACACCTGAACACCACATCAGAATGAATCACTGTCTCCATCAACGGCTGCAGGTTCACCACAATCGAGGGCCCAGAGTGAAGGGCCGGCGTGTCAGTTGTTGTTGCTGCTATAAGAATACCGTTGACGTGCTCAAGCTCATGAGCGCAAGTTTCCCATTCGAGGCAGATTGGCGTTGGCAACTTGAACCCTGACGGTCGAGGCTGGATACTCAGAAGACAAATTATGTTTCTATTCGTTGCAGTCTTTTCCCATGTGCATCAGCATTTCTCGCACGTGTCAACGCCCCTCTCCGCAACCCCAAAGTGTCGCAGACTATGACTACGATCCATCTGGACGGATGGCCTGATGGCCTGCATCTTTGCAGGTTCTTCGCGGCATGGAAGCGTCTCCGGCAGTACCAGCGTGACTCGACCATTGTGATTTCTGCGATTTGTCATCGATTTTTCGGCAGCTGCGGATAGTTTATTTGAGGTGGGTAGCGCACCGGGTGCTCGCATATGGCGTCCATCAGGCAAGAACTTCGCACAAGGGCATCGCCACCCTGAGTTTCTTCTGCTGGGCTTCTTCAGGTGTCCAGAAGCTGCCAGCTGCAAAACTGGAGCCACCATCAGGATTTGGTGGGCGAGCGAGTCGCCTAACTGCAGAGGACGCTGCACGGACGTTTCCAGCAATTGGGGATTGCGTACGGCTTTGAGCCTCCAACATAGATTTCGTGGTTTGGTACTATGGTGAAGCTGCAAATCAGGCCAATCAGCGGTGTTTCCTGGAGGCTAGGTTTTGTGCATCCAAGCGTTGTATGCATTTATTTGCTTGCTATGGTTTCGGTGAAGAAACTTTCTCCTGCTCGCCCTTCCCTATAATTGCTTACCTGTCTTGGTTGCTCGCTCGTCGGGGCGCGGGGCGGGGTGTTACGTCGACGTCTTCTTCGTTATGACACTCCAGACAAGTGCTTATCTGCAAGCTGCAAGCATGGGCAACATCACAGTTGCATCAGCTTGCATCTTGACAGCATTATTCCGTCTTTCTCACCAAGTGTTCCCTGATGATGCTGCCCCGACCGTTCGCTGATGATAAAACGAACTCAGGTTACAGGGTTGTAAGTGTGATCTGTGCTAAGCCTCTAAACTAGATAAAGTGAGTTGCTAGTGCTGCCACGGTCCTTGGCAGATTGCAGAGCCTTTCTGCGGAGCACGCAAAACCCTGTACATGAAGCAGAATCCGTTTCGCTTCGAAGTCGGACTTGTTTATCAATTTCATCAAGCCCGCGGTTTGGTCGACATGTGTTATTGCAGCAGGACATCGGCAAGATGCCCGGAGACCATTCGGAGGTGCGTCAACAGGCGTGCATCTGCATCCAAGATTCTGAACTGTCATGCTTGAGGACCGTGCAAGCAACCGAAGATTACATGGAAAAGAGGCACGAGCCTTGCACACTTTGCATGTGGATGTGCATCTCGCTGACACCGGGTCGTGCTTTTTCACGTCCTTTTTCCTGGCACCAGGGCGTGCTGCTCTTTGGCCCGAATGGGGTGCTCGCACACATGCGCGATCCGGAACATCGCCATCAGGCTGGCATGTACAACAAACTAAAACGATCTTGCGACTCACTTTCACGTCCAGGCCATGCTTCCGCCGTCTGGACCTCCTCAAGGAATCGAACGACGATTGGAGGAGCGGAAAGCAGCAGCTTGGCCACACCAGTGAGAAGCCACACGCATCGTAGCTCGCAGCGAAGACGTCCATTATACTTTCACGCCAACAGGCGGTTGGGCTTGAAGGACCGACAGTGGTCAAGGGTCAAGTTGAAGTTGGTAGTTTTGCATCTTCAATCAGCATTTGAGTCCTTCGACTGCCACGGCGTCAATCAGAGCCACAGCCCTGAGTGATTCACACTAATTCCCCACCATGTTGGTATCCCGGCCGATTAGTCTGGTGGCATTGACCAACTTCGCATGATTCGTGCAGGGCTCACTATGACAGCCGGACACCCATGTGCCTGATCGGACATGTGCCCCCCCCACCTGCACATACACGTGCACAGACACATTCACATACATGTGTACGTGCATATACAACTGTATATTCGCACCCAAGTGCATATACATATACATACACATATGCAGGCATGTGGGTATACATCCGTGCATCCATACGTACCTACATGCTCATATGTATATGTCTGTGCGTATACATTTTAGCATGTACGTCTGCCCTCAGCATATACACATGCAAATGCATACATACTTGCATAGACCGACAGACAGAGACAGGCAGACAGACAGTCAGACAGACCGGCCGCCCGGTAGGCAGGCAGGCAGGCAGGTAGGCAGACAGACAGACAGACACCTAGACCTTTGTGCACGTACACGTGCAAGCCGGAAAGGACACGACAGGATAAGAGAGGACAGCGCAGAGCAGAGCAGGGCACCACAGGGCAGGGCAGGAATCCCATGACATGGCACTACCCGAGAAGATATGGCATGATATGATAGTATCATGGATCACAGCACAACGAAGCACAGCATATCTTAGCATAACCGTTCAAGCATGCATAACGTACGCACAGAGAGACTCACACGTATATATATATATATATGTATGTATGTATGTATGCACACATGCATACATACATACATACTTAGTTACTTAGTTACTTAGTTA